ATGAAGAGACAGGTTGCGGAAGCTGTCCTTGTAAGAGAACTCAAACAGACTGTAATTCATTGACAAAAGATGACCATATAGCCAATAAATAATACTGTCAGCTAATGGTGAAATTACTTACAACATGCCAAAAAAGACAAAAAGAATAAGCCTTTTGTGAGTTAAATTTGAATAAAATTTGGTTCACTAAGTTCTATAAATTCACTTGAACATCATTTGAATTCTCCACACTAAAGGCACCATTGCTATATCTTGTGATTGGGGACAAGTTTTTGCATAGTGACCCTCATTTCTCTGGATTGGACTGGTTCCTTTGTGCCCTTTCTTATGTATTGAAAACAGTGTATTTTACAAGGCATCTCTTATGTAACAAATCACAGGGTATAGCAACCACATTTTTAGTCTGAGGAAATCAAATTGTTGTTTATTTGCAATCAGATAACTTAAGTGTATTCAAACAGAACTTGCAAAAGGTGTATTCCATCATTTGAAGAGAGGGCTTGAATCTGAAGCAAGGTTTGTTGTCTGTGGTCTGTGGCTGTTAACCATGGCATCTTAGCTGCAAATGAGAAGTAATTGCCTGGAAAATGTCTTCATTCAGCGATTGCCTAATTGTTGATGTTTTATTTTTTTTTTCAAAAGACATCCCAGTTCTTCTGTAACTTATAGATGTCAGTAACTTTTATGATTTTGTCGTATGCAGGTCCAGAGGTTAAGATATCTGCAGTCACAAGGACTCAGAGAAAATGGCAGGTAATTGAAATAGCTTCATGTTTTATTTCTTATTATATTGAAATTAAAGATGTACCATGTAGGACAGTTGTTTCATGTTCTTCACAGCAGGTAATAAGACTGACTTCTCAATCAGTTGGTAAAATTACCACAAATCTTTTACTTAGGCTAGAAGAAAAATGTCATAGACATGGCTGCTGTCAAAAATCTTATCAGCAATTTCTGAAGAGCTCATTATTAATGGTATGCAATTACCCTTTGATGAAATATTGTTATGATATGGATAATAAACACAGCGTGTGTCATATGGCTCATTAGTTATTGAAGAGCTTCCAACCTTTTCAAGCTCATTTCTGTATTAAAAAAGTAGAAAATAAGTATATTGCTCACAAAATGCATATTTCTGGTTTGGCTGATTCCTTTTTTCAGATTTTTTTTCTGTCCTGTTTCTTGGATGTTCATATTTGAGGCTTTATCATTGAATCTGTCCAGCTTTAACACCACTACTGCATGGTTTGCACAGAATAAAGTGCAAGCTTTACAAGCAATGTCCATTGCATCTTGTCTTTCTAGCTACTGCCAACACCAGTTAATTATTCCTCATGCACATGTTGATTATTTTCTAGTTTGCAACAACAATTTCCAACATGAAGGTCCTCTTATTGACAAGAATATTATATCAAATCAGTGCTCTGAAATATGTGATTGCCGAGCTTTCGGTAACTGAGTACCTTCTGTAGGTACCTGCTTGATTTGATATTGTATTGTCGTCAATATTCTGATCACGGTGCTACGCAGCCCTTGCATATTTCTCTGAAGGTCCTGTTATATGTTTTCAATGCATGTTTTTCACAGTATTATCCATGTATGTGCATCTTCACTATGACGGCAGAGCAAGCAATCCTACACTCACATGCCAGTACATGCAGCACTTAAGCTACTGTTCATTTGGATGCAGAGCATCACATGGAGAAAATTCTTTTCATCAAACTTTAGAAAAATGCTTGTTATGGACACATTGTGCATTATTGATTTCCTTCTTGGCTCATGAGCTGCAGTCAAATGGTATGTAACATTTCATTCACTGAGATATGAAATGTAAGCCTATTCATTTTCCCCATAAGTACTTGACACTTGGTCTTATTTTTCAGATTATGTCTGCAAAGGGATGCAATGCCTTGTGTACCTGAATTGAACAAGAATAGCACCATATAAAACAAAATTCATTTCTATGAAGAGAAAGACATACCTCCGTAATTTCATAAATTCTCTGGCTGAACTGTGGAATATCTGTACCAATTGGCAGTTCTGCTATGATAACAGAATGGTTGCCAAATGTTTGTCCAGAGGACTGTGTAGATTGTTTTGTGTCCTGGGTCTAGACAAAGAAACGCTGTGAGTGAAACAGAACTCTAGTGGTGTAGCTAGAGGGGCTAAGGGAGCACAAGCCCTCATACTCTTGCTGATACTCTAACATGCAATATGAACTGTGTTAACCATTTGCCTTGGCAGATAAGATAGGAGTATTTTTTCATTTTGATATGCAGAGAGAAAGGGCGAATTTGGTGACCACTTTCTTTAAACTTTGTTGAAGAGTATCACCAGACAGGAGAGTTTTTTTAAACACAAATTGCTGCATGTAAATGGCACTATGGATATTAATGCTATTCTTTCATCCACAACATAGGGAATAAATATATGCTTTGCCGATCTTAAACCTGTGTTTAAGACCAGCTCAGGAGAATGCCTTGCAGCTGGGGCATTATCAGCATTCATTCTGCTGAACCAAGCACATGCATGTATTTAGTCCCATTCAGAAATACTGTTTTAGTCAGAGAGTTGATATGCAATAAATTTCCAAGGATTTGTTCAGGTGTTTTACTTTCATTTTCCCAAACTCCTCTATCCATTTTATCGTATCTTCATAGGGCAAGTAGTCCAGAAGAATCTCCTGTGGACTTGGTGCGTGTGCAGTGAGTTCAGCATAGGAATAGATTAGTAAATTGTCTTGTATCCAGGTGTCAGTGCATTTTTATGCAACGGGTATTATCAAATTGCAGTGGGCATTATCAAATGATAGCCCTATCCCCCTAGGGTGTATGTAAAATTATACTGAAATCAGAGGATTTGGGACTATTCCTGACATGGTTATGTTGAGTGTTGTTGAATAGGGAAACTAAGTTATTTGTGAATGCACTTTTAACAACTCGATCTTGTATCCGTATTAAACCTATATCCTATAAATTATTCTTACTTTAGGAGACCTAATCATTATTGTATAAGGTCTTATGTCTCTAATATCACCTCTATGGTGGCTTATTGAAACTGTTAATGTCGCGCCATGTAAGTTAGCTATACATTCAGTACATACAAGCTGTAAACCTTCCACCAATGACATTTCAGCTCAACATGAACATAGTGATCTGACCTCATGATTCAGATTTTAGCCTGACGCTATGTATAGAAAAAAATTCTTTCTTCCTCCATGCTTCCGGAAGAAAATATTTTTCTTTTCTAAATCTTCCTCATGTGAGAAAGAAATCAAAATACAAAGTTAGACACTGGACAAAAATTTGAGCAGATTTGGTGAGGTCAAACCATCTGCCTCGCACATACCATATGAGAACACCAAAGAACGGGAATTGATGGGTTAGAAATTGATCAAACTAAATTTATACATGCATAATGCATGCCTCAAAGTGCCGAAGCCCAGTACATAAATGTACTACTTGTCCATAAACGGACCTCTCAAAATAATCAAAACACTGGTCCGAAACACCACAGGGATTCTGTGTGTCTATGAATGCTTATTCTTGGGGAAATCGAATCTGACAAATAGGAAAACGATGGAAACTTGTGAAAATTGAGGAAGATCCCAATGAAGGGGAGTTAAATGGAACCCGTATTAACCTCCAGGCTGTTATTCTGACATCAAAATTGATGCCGTCTGGACAAAGCAATGGCCAAAAGGAGGCCGTGGTCCAATGTGGAACTACAAGCGTGCCGCTAACATTATTGACAAGAATGCACTTTATAACTTGCACGATGAGTGAAACTGGAGGTTCAAAGTAATTATTCTCGTTCGACCAACCTTGACAAAAAGCATCCACACCACTGACTCCTTTACACCAAAATCGTGCTTAAAAACGTTTAAGCTTGGCAAAAATGGTCAATGAAATGCAGTCCCAACAGCTTGTCTATGAAGTTAAAGGAAGCATTGTCTTTTGACCAATTATCGAAGTAACGGAATTTACTTATTTTATCGGCCAGGTAGTTCTCATTTCTTGGAAGCCACCGTGGTATTCAAATACAGTTGTGAGTGCTGGCTGATTTAAATAAAGCCAGAGAAAGTGCATGCAAATCGGCTTTAACACTACCGCAAGTGATAATCTTTGGCACATTGGAATTGTTGTTGTTCCATTCAATAACTTTGTCTGTAATCAAGGGTAGTAGGTCGCCGAGAACTTTAAGATCTGCGGCCAACTCTCGCCAAGTCGAGCTTTTATGTTGCTCTAATTCTTGCTAAATACCTTGAAATTTGAAAGCTGGGTGATTTTCTACATAGGCCCTGCAACCATGATCACTAGTGTCTGAATAGACTGTTAGGGATGGAGCAAGACAAAATTGTATTGTAAAGCCGTTGAGCTCGCTAGTATTTTCCGCCCAAAACCCCAATTCTGTTAAAGTGTCATCGGTTAATTGTATATGATCGCGCCAACTAGAAGCGGATTCTATGACCTTTTAAGAATGGCCTGTCATTAATCTGACCACTGGTCCGAGGGCTAATGGCATGGATATTATTTGACCGGTAAAACACGCTAGCTGCTTTACTGGTACGCTGCTGCGGGACTTGTAGGCTATTGTGAGCTCGGAAATAGTTGCTAAAACTTTGGCCAACCTGGTTTGCGGAATGTAAAATCTGAAGGTAGAAGAATCTATGATAAGCCCTAAATTAAGTATTTTGCTCACTGGATCCCAATTGCATTTTGTTTTGCTGGCAACAAAACCGGAGAGAGAGTTTTGAACGAAGGTTTTGTTTGTGTTCGCTGAATCAAGATTTGGTGAAATAATTAGACCGTCATCTATGTACATAAAAGCTTGCAAACCTCGTTGACGCCAGAAATGCGCTAAAGGTCTAGTGAGCTTAGTAAATAAATGAGATGCACTGCTAAGACCGAAAGGAAGAACTGTCAAGATACAGTATTTACGAACGAAGTTAGGGTGTAACCAAGAGAATCCGAGAAATTTCTGGTGCGGTGGAAAAATGTCAAAGTGGTGATATGCAGATTCTAGATCAAAGGTGAAATACGACTGATTGAAATTGAGAAAATGGGCTTTATGATACAGGTCCTTGTATTTGAATGTAGTCGTCCAAACGTATTGGTTGGGGTGACGCAAATCTAGTACCAAGCGCAACTTTTTGCCTTCTGCAACTGTCAAAGGGTTGCAACAGCAAGGGGGAAGATTTGTTTCTACAGTGCAACATTTCTGAATCAAATTGGCAGTAGCAGACTCAACAAAATGAGGGTGATTCAAACTGGATCGATTATTTTCCAAGTAAATTTGAGGCGGTTCCAAATAGAATGGTACTTTGTAACCCAAATTTATAAAGTCCAGTACAAATTGACTAGCATGGAGACAATCTCTCCAGTATGCAATGCATGATTTGAGTTTACCTTTAACCCCCGATGGGGTTTAGTTGACAGGGTCTGGCTTAGCTACTTCCCAGTCTCTAGTGTCGGCTGCTCTGGTGGCCGGAGCTTGGCTTGACTGCTGGAGGGCCTGCAAAGATTGGCAATTGGATCTGACATGGCCGGTGATGCTGCACTGGAAGCAGGTACGAAACTCTGGTTGGTATGCGCTGCTGAAAGAGCGAAAAAGATAAGGAGCCGAAGTAAACTGACGAATAGCGGTGTTGCAAACCTTAGATTTGGCCTTTTTGGAGGTTTCGGCCTTTTTACTGGCTGCAAATTTTTCTGTCTTTTTGAGTTTCTTTTCGTCGCCAGAGTCGTCTGAGAGATCGTCGGCGACATATTCCTTAACTGTTGCCCCGGCCTTAGGCAGAACGGTCGGCCAACTTGATGACTTTTTGGCATTCCTTAACTGCTTCGATGATTTGACCAATAGTTGCTTTGGCCGACTCGATGTCTCCGATGTCAAGTGAAGCCAGAGCAAACGCTGTGATTTTCTCGGCGTGTCTAAATTGGTCCTTGTTGCCGTCGCTCTTAAAATCGTATGGAATGTCAGCAGAAGTTTGTTGCTTCTTCAAGGCTGATTCAACTTTAGAGTCAATGGAGCTGGACAGATTTTGAATAGCCAAAAAGATGTCTTGGTTGGAGGTTCTCCAAAATGTGTGCTGCGAGGTTAAGCTGCTCAACTGAGAATGAAATCAAGCGTTGACTCTAATATGACTCTGATTGACTCTAATATAAAAGAAAATAGGAATGTGTTACGTAAGGGTATGTGCTATAAAAAGAACCTATCACCTGTCGTACGATAGCGAAAAGAAAAATAACTTCTTGTTTCTTATCCATGCCAGATCCAAACAAATCCACTTTTGTTGTATTTTTCATCTCCACTCTCTGAAAACCCTGAATTTTGGGATAATTTGTTATTGAATTGCAACCATTTTATTGACCGAGTTGCATGTAGAAGCTTTATCTTCAACTCATGTACAAGGAATAATCTGTGAAATATTGAAGACAAGCCATGCTTGCATCATTAGGAGTTTTGGGCTTGTATTTAGCCTTTCATTGCACGACACTGATGCATAGGTGTGAAGCATGGTGTGATAAAGCCAGTCTGTTATGGTATGGTTTCATAACTGATTGGCTGTGCCTTTGATGTTCTCTACTCAATCATATCATAACGTAGCATATTTCATTGCCCAGCAAGATGGAAAGGTTTCAGTTTCATCTTTACAATATGTTATTTATTACGAGGACACATAGCCTTTTTGAATAAACTCAGATAAATTAGGTCATTCTATAAAATAGGGCTCCAATTTTTTTCGTGTCCCTGTCACATCTGACATAAGATTTTGTGAATTAGAACACATTGTCTAATTTCTGAGAGCGGTGAATTAATGCAAATTACCTGCCAAACAAATAAAAATAGTTTGAAATCAAGTTCATTGATTTTTCTGTGTCAAATTGCACAGGCCAGGTGTAACAGGGGACACAAAATGTCACGTTTTTGGATTCCCCTCATTTATAGAATGACCCAAATGATAAATCCTTGAATAAGCCCTCTGTTCTCTGCCAAAACTTTGTTTCTGTACACCACAGTTTGTGCTTGAAAGTACTTACCTTTGCACATGTGCATAATATGTGGTCTTAACAAGTTCTGGTCCTGTTCAAGTGACTTGTTTTTCAGGGTCTGACAGTCATGCTTTTCAGCTTTTATTGTGAAAATTGTAACTTTATTTACATGTACAAGTTCAACTTTTGTTTTCAAAAAGTTTATTACATCTGCACCCATGTGCAATTATTTTATGCGCATGACTTTATAGAACAAGCTCAGTACAGGTACATGCACAGATACACGTAGGCCTATGCAGTGTATGCTTAGTGAAAGGAAAAGTTTGGAAGTCACACAAATAGCAAGAAATTCAGATCCAGTGAACAAGCAATGTCCCACGGATTTCATGCCCATGGGAACCAACTTCATAAAGTGCCGTGTATCCACTACTATTAGTGACGAAGGGCAATCCCCTACTCTTTGTCCCAATAAAACCTTTCTACAAATCTGTTTCTTCCATTTGAAGTGTACAGCCCAGTGCTGTACTATCACGTGCATATAACTAAAACCAAGCCTACGGCTGTCTCTGCCTTCAATGTTGTATATTCAGTGGCAAGCAATTAGTGACTTTGATTGCCCAAGAACACAAACTTTTCAACAGCATTGGTCAGACTTGAATCTGTATTCAAAAGAAGCACAAACAGATGTGCACTTCAGGCAGGTCCTGAGACCAGGGCAGTCCACAAGATCTTTCCTTGGCTTTGGCATTCTTTGTGGGGTGATGTTTCTTTTTGTATGGTAGGTCTCCCTCGAGGACCAGCATAGCAGAAAAAGAGCCCAGTGGCACAGCCAAACTGAAGGCTCTGAATGCCACCATCCTGAGATTGACAGAGAGCAATCAGCGACTGCAAAGTGAGAACAAACTGCTGAAGCAGGACCTGGAGAGGGCACTAGATGAGGCCATGTCAGACATGGGTGATACACCTCGGGCTAAGAAAAGAAGAGATAGAAAGAGAGGTTGGTAAGACAAGACATGCCCACAAATGGGACACTACAGCCATTAGCAGGATTTACCCCACACAGTGGCATTTTTTTCTGCCTTTTGCGATACTTTGCTTTAGATGTTCCCCAAGTTCCTCAAAGATGTTGCTTTCCAAAACATTTCTTTTTATAATGCAGATTATGAAGACATGAACAGGAAAGAGCTGCTCACTGCAATAGTTGACTTAGAAGATGTAAGTAGGGATAATTTTCTCTGTACCAAAACTCTTACAATTTAATCACAAAGGTCTCATTGAGAGCACAAGACTGTAGAGTTGAGGAGTGTTTGAGAACTGAAAACTGGATCTAGTATTCATATTCTTGGGCATCATAGGTTAAACATACTTTATATACTTTTAATTGCCTTATTTATGGCAACAAAGAAACACCCCCCCCCCAAATTTTGACAACATGCCATTCGTTTCTCACTTCATTGCAGAATGTCGCTAAACTAGAAGGGAAGACTGCTTCCACCTCCACTCGCCCCTCGGACATACCTGAAAAAATTGAATTGACTGGGACCTTGGCAGACCGGCTAGACCAGTTAGACAAGCGGGAGACAGAACTCCTTGAGCAGAAGACTAAGCTTGAAAGAGACTGCAAGAGACTGAAGGAAGACAAGGCTAATCTCAGGCAGAGAGTGGATGAAATGGAGTGAGTTGGCCTTACAAAAGGCAGAGAATGGTTATGGAATGAGTTGGCCTTAAGAATGGCAGAGAGTGGGTGAAATGGGGTGAGTTCGCCTTAAGAACGGCAGAGAGTTGGTGAAATGGAGTGAGTTGGCCTTAAAAAGCAGAGTAGGTGAAATGGAGTAAGTTGGCCTTAAGAACGGCAGAGAGTGGGTGATATGGAATGAGTTGTCCTCAAGAACGGCAGAGAGTTGCTGAAATGGAATGAGTTGGCCTTAAAAAGCAGAGTAGGTGAAATGGAGTGAGTTGGCTTTAAGAACGGCAGAGAGTTGGTGAAATGGAGTGAGTTGGCCTTAAGAATGGCAGAGAGTGGGTGATATGGAATGAGTTGGCCTTAAGAACGGCAGAGAGTTGGTGAAATGGAATGAGTTGGCCTTCAAAAGCAGAGTAGGTGAAATGGAGTGAGTTGGCTTTAAGAACGGCAGAGAGTGGGTGAAATGGGGGGAGTTGGCCTTAAGAATGGCAGAGAGTTGGTGAAATAGAGTGAGTTGGCCTTAAGAACGGCAGAGAGTTGGTGAAATGGAGTGAGCTGGCCTTAAGAACGGCAGAGAGTGGGTGGTATGGAATGAGTTGGCCTTAAGAACAGCAGAGAGTTGGTGAAATGGAGTGAGTTGGCCTTACAAAGGGGAGGTGTACCTTCTTCAGTTGTGCCAAATTCCTCAAAACTGTTGGGATATAGGAGAATAAACCTTTGGCGAGTTAACTTTGACCCAAATCTGGTACACTGATTTCTTTAACCACTTCCTGCCGGGGACTCCGGAATCGCAGACGTATGCTTTATATGCGTGGCTGGGGTCTCCGAACTGAGACAAAGGAAACAGGGCCCTGTAACAAAAGACCGTACTCCGAACAAAAGACCAGGCTGCTGGGCATTAGCAACATTTTTCATTCTCAAAAGTGGTGATAATCCAGCCTTGTTTTGAAACCGTATACCGCGGTTTGGGGCATTTATAGCGTGCAGATTACCACCGGGGACAAAAGCGCTCCACCACCACAGCAATGAGCCACACAGCACCACTGCACGCTAATCTGGCCCCTATTGCAAAGAGGTCAGCAGTGCACTAAGCCAGGTTCGTGAACAAAAGAAAGTTACATAACACCACACAATCTGGGCTCTTTTTACAAGGCTGCAGGCCTGGCTGAAATACTCGGGCATCAATGAAGGTCACCTGTCATCTTAGAGTAGTGCCTAAAGATTATTTTGTGCAGCTATAAACGTCTGTTAAATGAAATGATGAATTTTTGAAGAATTTTGAAAACAGAAAAAATAATTATGCCGGCCTAGCATCATCAACATCGAAAAATGCCCCGGCATGAAGTGGTTAAATTCACGTGAACAAAACAACTTGGATTCGCCTTACTAAAAAACACTGTTGCTATATCTCGTGATTTAGGGCAAGCTTTTGCTTAGTTACATAAGAGACACTTCGCATCAATACACTGTTCTCAATGGAAAAAAGGGCACAAAGGAACCAGTCCATTCCAGAGATGGTGGTTGCTATGCAAAAGCTTGCCCCGAATCGCGAGGTATAGCAACAGTGTCTTTAGTCTGGGGAATTCAAATCGTTATGTTTATGTGTAGTCAGGTAATTCAGTGCACAAGATTTTATTCAAATTTAACTCACAAATGGCTTATTAAGTGCATTGCTTAAATTCATCATCTTATATTTCTTAATAACAGGAAAAACAGGCAAGTTTTAAAAAAGAAAGAATGTCTCTCACATTCAAGAGAGGATTCTGGTTGTGGCTGTAATAGAGCTTTATGGAATTTTGTATACATTTTAGGACGCCCATACTTGAACTCATAACATCCATACATTTCTTTATAGAACACTGTCATTTCAGGGAAATTACAAAGTCTGTGTGTTAAATGCCATCATGTGCATGTGTATGCTGCGTGCACATGTTCTATACATGTCGCATGTTGATCCAAACGTTTCTGAAATATGGTAGACCCAATGCGTGTGACAAAAATTTGACATCCAAAATGCCAATGTACGTGGCATTCAGTTAGCAGTGATGTTATCTGAGTGAGGCTCATGATATTTCATGGAAATGGCAATTGAAGATTTAGCTTTCTTGTGATTTACACGGCAATTGGTACATACATGGACTGTAATTATTTCAAATTCAAACATGTCTCAGCTCCCACTTTGTTGTTCAGCAAAATCGGTACATCTAATTGTCCAAGAATTGGTGTAAAGACCTGCTAGGCAAGTCTGATGTGACAGAAAGAAAATATGATAAAATAAATGCCAGAGGAAATATACTTAAGGATTTTTCTCACACTCAAGGTGAAGGGAAATTCCAAGACAGTTTTGCTGGAGATCGAAGAATAATCTTAATAATATTTCACTTTTCTGAGTGTTTTTGCATAGCAAAAGAACAGAGCATATTAGTTAATTTAAAATTTCTTTGCCAAATTTCTAGAGACGAGGTGCAAATCTTGAAGAAAGAGCTTTCTGAGGTCACAGCCAGAGACAACGACCGACGCCGCTCCCTGCAGCGGCACCCTAGTTCTGAAGCAGTGCGTCGCTCGAGCAGTGCACGTTCCCTGAAGCAACAGCAGCAAGAGGAAGAATGGCTGAAGGAACGGGACCGCAAAGTTGAAGAGTTCCGCAAGAACCGCTCAGCTCGTAACATCCAGAAGAACTGGAAAATGCATCACAAGAAGGTAAGCCTAAGGAGCCTTACACATGAACTGAAGATGGCTCATGGGCCCAGTCCTCGAATTTCATTTTTTTTTAGGGCACTTCCATTTGGCATTGATGGACAGGCTGAAATAAAGGGCACTAATGCCAAATATGAGGGCATTAATGCCATCCCATTTTTTTTTTATATTGCATGAAAATGATTCAGGTCTATGAAAAAGTAGGATACGCCTTATACCTGAATATGTCCGTGATAAGTTCCAAACCAGCAGCCGAGTGTTGAAAGGCTTCGGCCTGTTTTGACTGCAGCCATTGTTTCCTCGTTATTTTGCGTACCACAAAAACTGGCCAGGCCAGTGATTTTGCACACAACGTACGTGAGAATTAATCAGGGTAGTCCTGATTGACTAATGTCGTGTATGTACAGTTCGGATCGCGCGCGGCACATGGCACTAAACTGCAAACACTACATTGCGGTGTTAGTTAAAATACTGCCACGACCATACAATCGTCTCGTGTGCATGAAAAACATGGAACTCTCAATATACCGTTAACGCGTACACCTTAATGAGCACTTGTTCTAGATTAACATTATTGCATGATACATTAAAACACCTGGCTTGGGCATGCGTTGGATAGGCCAGCGGGTGTCGCTTGTACCGCGCTTACGATCATGCAGCGTCTGTGGAGCGGGCCGGGCCGCTGGTGCATGGGCAGAGTCTACGACATTCCTACATACACACAGTGCACGCACGCCCTGCATATGCATGCATGCCATAGATTTGGGTGGCACGGTGCGGTGTTCCGGTCGAATGTGAGTGATCATGGAACAATGTGATGTCGCTTTCCATGCCATTTTCTGTGTACTTTGCTGAACAGGGGCAGTCGATATGCACGTGTAAGGCACTGCCATTTTGGCGGGGAAACATGCTCACTTTTCGGAGGCATCAATGCCAAATGGGAGTGCACTGACGGCCATGCGTGACCGTTGGGAAATTGGAGGCCTGTGGGCCTGCTCATGAGAGCCACTGTGCTTTCACTGGTTGACATACCTATCCTGTAGAGGATATCAGACCATTTTTCGTCTTATGTGCATATACCTTGCATCATTGTAATGGATTTAATATGAAAAAGACTGTTTCTGAACATTGCATACACATGCAAAAGTAGAAGTTGACAAATGACAGATTATCATGTGCAACATACAGCAGCAAGATTTCCTTTATGTTGACCTTCCACTGTGAAAACTGTAAATTTTCCTAACCTGATACAGTATACTGAAATAAATTGTTTTATTTATTATGTTTTTCTCCTTTGCACATGTATGCCCATGTTTTATTTCAGGCTTTGGAAGAGCAGGAAGTGGATGATGTAAGTTGACCATTCATTAAAAAGATTTCAGTTGTGCATAACACCTTTATCTTCATTTAATTGAATAGCTTGTGACTTGACATTTGACTGTAAGACTTGTGATGGTTTGCATTGTTTTTTAATAAGTAAAACAAAATTTCAAAGAAGGTTGTCAGGGCTTGCCCTTCATTTTTCTGACGGTAGCCCCCAAGGCTAGTAATTTGTGATTTTACAAGCCCACAGAGATTTTTACTAGCCCGGGAAATGTGTGAAGAAACTAACAATTAAAGCAGGTTTTTGACTTAAGGTGGGGCCACCAAGACATTTCTATCAACCATTATCACTTCAGACATTGCTCTTGTGATGATGTCATTGGATAACGGAGGTCATATGACATGCCTGTGAATTTCAATTCTTTGTAGGTCAATAAATCTCAAGAGCCTCCTGTCTAACACGGATGAAACTTGGCATGGACCTAAACCAAGATATGTTATATGTGAAAATTGGGGTGATGATGTCAACCGATTTTTGATAATTTTTTAAATCTTATTTTTTCACTTTATCTCCTTCACAAAACATTTTTTTGCTCGAGCTGTAGCGATCAAACTTGATATACTTAAGCAATGTTTGTGACGCCATGAAAATGTCATCAAGTGATTTTTTTTTTAGATGTTTCAATATTTCAGAGTCAAAAAGTACTTGTATCTTCTACCTTTGAAGG